TGTTTGCAATACGAACACGAGGCAACATCCGCACGTCAGTAGACAACCGATTGGCATCCAGGCCAATAATATTACCATCCTCATCAACATCAAAGAAGGCAGGGTGGAGGAGCCGCAGCAGTAGCATTAACATCGAAAAGACCGGTGACGATTATAAAATAGTAAGTTCGAGGAGGAGTTTGTTAGAAACAGAAGTTTATTTTTTGCTAACATAGGCGTGCTTCTTAGGGTGTTACTAATAGAATACGTAAATACAGTATAAAATATTATAAGAGCGTGTCAACGGATTTTTTATCAAAAAGAGACTTTTTTGATAAGAAGCTAGAATTCAAGAAGAACTAATGTCTGAAATACGCTTTGAGGTTAGATATCATTGTGGTTTGTGCTAACTAAGATTATGGGATATAGATAAAGTCAAAGTCCCTTTTTTGTAAAGTTTTATTTGGCTGATAACAAGGTGTGCAATTAGATATGAATGATTATCAGACTGTCACAGACCTTGCAAGGGAGAAATACAACATTACTTTAGTGTACCAGGTCTTAAGTTTGCAGATGTACAATGCATATATATTAATATATGAGTATGATTTTAAACACAATGTTTATATTTAACCAGACCCTGGATAACAATAAGTTGTCTGATCATATTAATATGGTCCTGGATTTCTGCGTAACTCCGACTGTGTCACGGGAATTAACCCGATATAGTAACACCAGCGCAGTTGCTAAAAATAGATCAATTAGTCCGCCCGAAAGATATATAAGTAGCGTTATTTCAGTTAGATTGTTGAGAGGTCCGCGCATGTTTATAATGTTATAATTACTTTCGATTCCTTTATTGTAAATAAACGAGTAGTTCTTTATACTCTGAATAAATTGTTAATGATGCATTCCCTGGTAACTTAACGGTATAGCTGAGAAATCTCTAATCCCTATATCGATGAAGAATAATCGCTTGTCCCGCGATTATTCGAGTGGCAAATTACGAGAATTAATTGTTATGTAGATATAATTGAAATACTATTATACCCCACGACAGACTAGAAAGTAATCCATCTTAGGAATCGACAGAGTTACTCGAGTGCAATTAATGTATCCAGGATTTATCTAGAGAAGGAGACGCCACGATCTGCCGAAATACTAAGTGTCGATTATTATCTGCTCCTAGTCGGTACGACACCTTATACCTATACTACTGAGCACTATTTGTAATTTTATAAATTGCCTTCAATTGGTTACAATAACAGAGTCATCTTCCAAGAGGTTTTATTACTTTCAGAAAATCTGTTCTTTGTATTTTATTTGTGGCTTCATAGATTGTGATTGGGCTGATGAATCACATGGTGGCAACATTTTGGCATGTGGGCATGGACCACAGTCAGTGCCTGAAATGATATTCTTGAAATATCTTCAGGGTGAGATTAAAAAAATGTTGATGCAATAATGATGAGTTTGATGAAGGGATCAATTGAACATGAATCCATCAATGAAAATAAAAAACACAAACTCTGCAGGAGAGGTAATGGATGGTGTATTGGAGAATTTATTAAAAACTCATTTTTATAACTGTAAATTTATTACTATCAGCTATATAAATAATGAATATTGTATTGCATAAAGTGTAGCTGATTTAAACACTAATTCTAACCAGGAATTAAACATCATGTGATTGAAATTGCCATTTACCAATTCAAGCACTATAGTAATAGTAGTAAAATATAATTTTCATAGTCTCTCCTGAAGTATTATAATGTAAAGCTTTGTTTCTGGTTTATTAACATTCAAATAATAGACCTTATCTAATACATCAATAAATTCAACTCAAACATTATATTCTACTTTGCTTCATTTTATTATTGTATATTTTTATCTGTAAAATCTTCAACTATTGTAATGCAAGCTTTTTAACCATTTCATTCTTATTCCATTTTTACAATATGTTCAGTGTCTTTATAATAACCTTGTTTAGCAGCTTTTTGATATAATTCAGCTGCCTTCTGTTCATCTTTTTCTACACCAATCCCATTCTCATAGCAAATACCAAGAGCATGTTGTGCATCAATGTGTCCCTGTTCAGCTGCTTTTTGATATAATTCAACTGCTTTTTTATTGTCTTGCTTTACCCCTGTTCCATTTTCATAATGTACACCAAGTTTATACTGTGCCACCCCATAGCCTTGTTCAGCTATTTTTTTATACAGTTCAACAGCCTTTTCATTATTTTTTTCTATACCAGTTCCATCACTATAACATACAGCAAGATTATATTGCGCCATAATATGACCCTGCTCAGTAGCTTTTTGGTACAGATCAACTGCTTTTTGATAATTCTTTTCTATCCCAAGTCCATTCTCATAACACAAACCAAGATTATATTGTGCAAGTGCATATCCTTGCTTAGCTGCCTTTTGATACAATTCAGTTGCTTTTTGAATGTTCTTTTCTACTCCAGTTCCATTCTCATAACATATACCAAGATTATACTGTGCATTGACATCTCCTTGCTCAGCAGTTATTTGATATAATTCAGCAGCTTTTCTATAATCTTTTTCAATTCCAATTCCATCATAATAACACACACCAAGATTATATTGTGCACTAATATCTCCTTGCTTTGCAGCTTTTTGGTATAATTCTACTGCTTTTTGATCATTCTTTTCTATCCCAATTCCATTATGATAGCATACACCAAGATTATACTGTGCATTAACATCTCCTTGATCAGCTGCTTTTTGATACAGCTCAACTGCCTTTTGATCATCTTTTTCAATACCAGTTCCATTTTCATAATATACACCCAAGCTATATTGTGCCTTGGCATATCCCTGTTCAGCTGCCTTTTGAAACAGTTCAACTGCCTTTTGGATATTTTTTTCTACTCCAATTCCATTTTCATAATATGTGCCAAGACTATACTGTGCCTTGGCATAACCTTGTTTTGCAGCCTTTTGATACAATTTCACAGCCTTTTGTTCATCTTTCTTTACACCAGTTCCATTTTCATAGAACACAGCAAGACCATATTGTGCACTAGCATCTCCTTGCAAAGAAGCCTTTTGATATAAATCAATTGCTTTTTGGTCATCTTTCTCTACTCCAATCCCATTGTGATGACACAGACCAAGAGCATACTGTGCATTAATGTCTCCTTGTTCAGCAGCTTTCTGGTATAACTCAACTGCCTTCTCTTTGTCTTTTTCTATGGCTATTCCGTTTTCATAACATAAACCAAGATTGTACTGAGCCTTGGCATATCCATGTTGAGCTGCCTTTGCATATAGTGCTACTGCCTTTTGTTCATTCTTTTCTACTCCAGTTCCATTATAGTAGCATACAGCAAGACTATATTGTGCTTTGGCATGATTTTTTTCAGCTGCTTTTTGATATAATTTGAATGCCATATGGTAGTTTTTCTCCACACCAGTTCCATTATTATAACATACACCAAGATTATGTAATGCATTAGCAAGTCCCTGTTTAGCTGCTTTTTTATACAATTCAACTGCCTTTTGATTATCCTTTTCCACCCCTATTCCATTATTATAACAGACACCAAGGCTATACTGTGCACTAACATCCCCTTGTTTAGCAGCTTTTTGATAAAACTCAACTGCTTTTTGATAATTACTTTCTAATCCTGTGCCATTTTCATAGCATACACCAAGATTATACTGCGCCCTGCTATGCCCTTGATCAGCTGCTTTTTTATACAATTCAACTGCTTTTTGGTAATCAATTTCTACTCCAGTTCCTTTATCATAACAAACAGCAAGATTATACTGTGCCTTAACATGCCCTTGTTCGGCTGCTTTTTGATACCATTCGATCGCCTTCATATAGTCTTTCTCTACTCCAGTTCCATTGCTATAATACACGGCAAGATTATATTGTGCGCCAGCATGTCCGAGTTCAGCTGCTTTCTGGAATAGTTCAATTGCCTTTCGGTTATTCTTTTCTACTTCAGTCCCAATCACATACTGTACGCCGAGAGTATAGTATGTAGAAGCTGTGATAACTTCTTGCTCGCCCATCTTTGCTATAGTTTATAACTGCTCGCAGACAAGATGGCCGTTCGTCTAACGCATATTATTGATATATTGGTGCATCCCGAAGGCGTAGATCGTGTAACTTTTAGTGAAACATTACAATAGTCGTGTAGCTGTTATAAATCGCATGATCCATTACCTTTTATACAGAATAAGGTCGTCTTGTGGACCGTTTTGTGTCTACCTTGTTTAATAAAACCTGTCTCTTCACACACTCCTTTGAACGCCGAGATTTTTTGTAGAGGAATATAATAGTCTTTCACATGATTCTTAGACGGAAACGGTAATACGAATTCCTGCTTACTGCGTTGAATCATTTGTTCTTCAACGTCACACATGATGTTGCTTCATTTGCAGTAGTAAATACAAGTGCCACAATCTCATTTTGAGGAATAATAATAAACACACAGTATTGTAAATACCGGTATATCCTAATTTCTGACGGTATTGTCATAATGCGTGCAATACATCCCCATGTATCAAGATTAGGGGGGCCTTATACCACGTTAGAACTTTATGCCGGAGGATATTTAAGGATATTATAACAATGAGAGCATTATATATCATATTTAGTATTACATGGAAATATGCCGTTCGTCGTAGCTTTACGGGCTAATAGCTACGGCGTAATGTTAGATGCGATATTCTTATTGGATAGCATTGAACGTTCTATTGTACCACAATATCTTTCTTTATCTTCTGCCAAAGTGTGAATTTTTTTAGTAATCTACGCAAGCGCAATAGAAGACAAGATATGAAGTCTTGTATCACTAGAAGAATTTGGGTTCGAGACCGCTTACTGAACTACATTATTTCAACGACGGGCGATCATAAAGCGAGCGTGACACAATGACTACTACGCATCGGGATTTTGATCGGGTCCAACCGTTGCAATCAATCATTGCAGTGTAACTTTACTCGTGAATCTTAGAACGCTAACGTCAAAATCGCAAGATGACATCAAAGGCAGGTAAAATCAGTATCTTGTGTCTGAGCAGGAATGTTCTGCATAGCGGACGTTTTGCACTATTTACACGGGTACCTGACAATCGTGTACACACGTTTGGTGAACGATCGTATAGTTCACGACCTGCGGAAAGCCCACATCCAGGTAACAAATATGTCGGTCAAATCCATCTGTGTCGTTCGATCTGATCTAAATAACTTAAACTTAAAAACAGCTCGACAGAAAGTCACTATTAACATAATACGAAAGCTATACAGTGACAATGAACCCATCACCGTCTTAACCGCGCACGATTACCCATCAGCTTCGTTTGTCGATAAAGCTGGGATAGACATTTGTTTGGTCGGTGACTCGCTGGCTATGGTTGCATTGGGTCATGAATCGACTAGTCCCGTTACTATGGAGGCAAGCTTTAATAGTTTGACTTATACCTTATTTTGATTAATATTAAATAGATTTCGATCTTAATTAGGAAATGCTCCATCACTGCCGTGCAGTTGCCAGAGGCGCCAAATCGCCATTCATGGTAGCAGACATGCCATTTGGGAGTTATGAAGTCAGCATTAATGAGGCCGTAAAAAATGCCATTCGCTTTATTAAGGATGGTAAAATGGAGGTAATTGTATTTGATTGCTAGCGAACAAAGTTTTCATGGTCGTTCAGTTAACCATTAATTTAGGCTGTAAAGCTGGAAGGTGGTACAGAGATGGCCGAAACTATTCGCGCAATAACTAGAATTGGGATTCCAGTTCTTGGACATGTAGGCCTTACACCACAGCGGCAAAGTTCGTTAGGTGGATATCGTGTACAAGGAAAAACTCTTGAAAAGGTGTGAACCCAACACGATGATGATTTAGTCGTGATCATCCCTTTTTTTTTTTTTTTTAATTTAATTTGCTTTATCCGTAGGCCAAAAAACTGATTGAAGACGCAAAGGCAATCCAAGAAGCTGGTTGTTTTGGAATGGTCTTGGAGACAATACCAGAACCGGTAGCAACACACATAACAAAGCTTCTGAAAATTCCCACTATTGGAATTGGAGCTGGACCAGGAACTAGTGGGCAAGTGCTAGTACAACTCGATATGCTAGGGATATTTGATCGCTTTGCACCAAGGTAGGTGAAATGATTTTCTTTAATGTTCGCATTTGGTAAAAATCTCTGATGGTTAATTTACATTCTGGGGTAGATTCGCCAAAACTTATGCTAATGTAAACAGCGTAATTACTGACGCAATCAGAACTTACCATAAAGAAGTAAAAGAGCGCAAGTTTCCAGCTAAGGAACATTGTTATCCCATGGAAGATGGCGAGTTAGAGAGATTTCTAAATATAGTTGGGTCCAGCGACAACGAATAATTGCATATCCTCTTAGCCTGCTTCATGGACCCCAAATAATCACTACCACTCTCTTATTATTAGCCCATGCAATTATCGTCCATATATAACTTAATTATAAAGTAATGATAGAAAATAGTACGATATAAACTCGTACCATTGTGAGTGTGAAGTTTGCAATATACTCTATACTATTACTATATGTTTCTATACCGAAAGGAAAAAATGAAGAGGAAGAATGCAATTAGTCGAAAGATCGTCAATCATAAGGAACAACAGCCAGACCTTGTCTTCAATTATATCAATGTGATATTAGAGCCTTATCAAGACGAACTTGTTCAATTATAAGAAAGCCCCGCTCCTTCCATGCATAAATTTAGAGTCCATTCCTTTTGCCTCTTGCAAAATTTTCGCTCGCTTTCTTGGATCCATCCGCCGAGCACCTAGTACATCACGATCACGATCAAACGGAAGTTTGCTCACGTCTTCTTTTTGCCATTTGCGAGATTTTAGGTATTCTTCCGTATGAGAATCTATAAGAGATTTCCCGCGGTGTTGAGCCTAATAGAATTATTTCGGTTGTCATACCATGTTAACGATAATGAGAACATATTACAGCAAGCTTATTAAAAAAAAAACACTGCTTACATTATAGTCATGGACCTGTTGAGCAATCTCCAGATCTCTTTGTGAGTAAGTTGGTTCCTCGTCCGCAATTGGCTGCTGTCGTTTTCGGCTCTTATTACTCTGCGTATGACATATACAAAATATGTAAATAAATAGATCCATATTTTCATGCAACATGAAAATGGCAATTGATTTTAAAACCTTGTCAGTTATCCGCTTCTCTCTTTCGGCAGGAGTTTCTGTCCACAGAGAATTATTATCCTGTGACGGATCGCGACTTATCTTTCTAAACTGTCTTGACTTCATATTAGTAGTTGAACCATCCAAAAACTTTGCTTCTGGTGGAACAAGCATCCATTCTCCACGTTCCAATGGTTTATCCTTGGTTGAAGTATTATCCAAATCTAGTTGCTTACGCATTCTCGCTGCGCGTTCTTCTATTTCTGCCACCTTATCATCGACTTCGTCTTCATATAAATATGGTATAAATCCTCTGGGTAGTACGGGACCTACTATGTCCTTCTCCTCTTCCTCTTCTTCTTGATTGACAGCGTATCCAGGGGGAGGCATTGCCGGTCCTATAATAGGACCGTTTGACCGTACCGCCTTATCGTTGCCAGCCCGTTGTTTGTTCTTTCGTCGCTCTTCCAACAAGTCTGGAGGAAGAGCTGGTAAGTAGGCGTCTGGGTCATCTTCCTCGACAGTATGTTCTAAAGTTTCGGAGTTTGATAACTGTGACTCTGGTTTCTCTTGCAACACATTTGAATCTGGTTGTGGTGTTGACACCCTTTTCTCTGATTCTATTAGACTGCTTGATAGCTGCGGGCCAATTAGTACGTCCTTTTCAGCGTCCTCCTGATCCTGAATTTGATACTTTGAAAGCAGGTGTTCTGGAATCTGTGGTCCAACAGACATCCCGGAAGCTTGACCTCAACGGTAAGACTTGGCATCAACTTAATTGAACATCACGTGAACGTGAATTTAACTTAAATTGTTTGTTTGCGATCCTCTTTTGTTGGCTATGTTGGGAAAATTAGTGCGAAGCCCTCTGTCATTGGCAGCTCAGGATCTAGTGAATTCGAGGCATATAAGAAGCCTGCTACATGTGTTGCAATGCTGATCCTGACAAACGTCCAGAATTATTGTTTTATGAGAAAACTAGGCCTTAAATTTCTCTATCGGCAAGTTAGCGCAAATGTAAAGATAACACGCCATCATGGATGAGATGCGTATTCTGCATAAATTTAAACCGGAATCATTCTCACAAACGATAAACCTGGCCATCGCAGAGTAGAAAATTAGAATATTGGGAAAATATGTCGTCCCTTCCATTAGCGACTAAATTAGAACACTCCGTGGACAAACGTAGCAAATGCTACAGCGGAAACAGACACATTTACTCTGCATATAAATAGTATTATAAGTCGTCATCTCTATTGTGTTGAAAGCAGGCTATCTCAATCAATTGAATAAAAGTGTAGACATTCATACATGTATGATTTATGTGATACGTTTATTTACATTTCATAAATTAACCCGCATTCTCCATCCCATGCATAAATTAAACTGGCTCGACCCGATGCGTGATTACCCACTACATTAACCAGAGAAAAATATGAGTAACACTCTAATCAGTTTGGAATATATGAGCATAGCGCGTTAAAAACTCACCTGGTAATAATAAAGAAGAACACATGCTGGTTGGCCGACTAGGCAGAAGCTGACCCAGAATAACACATTGCCCAAAGTTGAACCTTTGCCTCTCCATTTCTCCAGCTTAATAATTGATCGATTGTCAGTCAACATATAACAAGATACAAACATTAGTGATCAAGCAAGCGGTTAATACTCACAGGCTTAGACAGAGTAATCAATGGAATCTGAGCCTATTATAGAATTGGGAAATTTTTAAAACAATTCAGTAATAAATAACTACATAAATGATTTGATTTCGCGCTACCCACCATCATTCCTCCGAATGCATATCCCATTATGGCATGAGTTGGTACTCCAACCATAAGCTCATGGAGAGCAGCAGAAATAGTGAATACAGTCAATGTTGCAACTATAGGCGGGACGCCTTGGCCGACCAACGGAAGATACACATGGCGCTTGAACCAATGATAAACTGGTCTATTCCACAGACGCCAATAGGTTTCCAAGGATCCCGAATTCCACCAATCGAGATAGAAAGTACGATCTCCAAATTCCAGGGCCTAGGGAAATTAGTACAAATTCAGAACGATAGGAAATAGTCCGTTGTGACAATAATAATAGTAACTATACTAACACATTCAGTTTTTGGTCAGTCACAGTCATAGAATGCCAATTAATATATCAGTCAACTTACCTCACTCAATACATTCATATAACAATGGAAGAAGGCATAAAACATTAACAACCAGATGAGCAGACTCGTGGTGCTCAACTTTAGCAGCCTTTCAACTATGTTAACCAATGCCAACTCATCCATAGCACGAACGCTGTTCTTCAAGGTAGGATTAGCATATTGCTCAATTAAGAAATACATCATCGTACATGCAATTAATAGTTCTCCCGCTCTCTTTAGAAAAAATCCCAATCTAAACTTTTGAGGTGCCCTCGGGTACGATGGCTGATAGCAGAGCGTCGGGGCAAACCAGAAATATACGATATCGCCAAGCGTGATGTTGTTAGGATAAGCAACGGTGTAGAAGCCTTCCAGATTCTTATCCTGCGAGGATACTTGATTAAGACGAAGATCTCTATTGACAAGAGAATAAGAAACAAGTTTTAAGAACAGCATGACCGCGACAAATAAAACCACGGTCGCAAGAAATGGATGAAAAATGGCATAGTATGACATCAACGTCGGATATAAAATTGTGATGGTGATGTTAATGACGTGCAATATGCCTGCTCGTCGATTGATGGATAGAATTTTGGGAGTCAGCGTTGGTTGTTGATCTTGGGCTTTAGCTCTCTTTAATTCAGCGAGAAAGGGCTTGATTGCCATTTTCTCAATGAGATACGCAAAGATTACATTGAACGGCAGGGCAATAAATGTAGTTGAAAATAGAATATAGTCCTAAAGCCAGAGAATCGAAAAAGACGATACCATTCAGTTGGTAATATTATCTATATAGCACACATTATAGATAAAATTTTCAACAACTTACTGAAGGAGGCACAAAAGTACCAGGTCTAGACATTAGAAATCCGTATTTAAGATAATTCTCAATAATCAGTCGAACATTACTAGCAGCAAGGATGAGCACTTTGAGGTGAATGACAATAAAAATTAATTCTAGTCCAAGATTATGTGAAGTTCACCATTACATTAATTATACTAGTTAGACTCACTTGCTAGGTTCATAAATCCACGATAACTCGCAGGAGGTGCATCCTTTGACAGTACAGAGGGAGCGACCGTAGTGTGTATGGGAGTTATATGATGTCGATACCCTTTCTTAGAAGACTTCTTTTTCTTAACGGTTGCTTTCGAAGATTCGGCAGACTCGGTTTCGCGATCAGAAGTTGGAGGTGACGTTTGATGTCCATTTGATAATGTATCCGACGACATATTAAAATTATGTAAGAATATATAAACGCTGAAAGTTGCAATTAAAACTTGTGTCGAGAGCGGGGGAAAAAAAGGCACTTATAATTGACATTTGCAAATGACACAAATGGTTAAAGTAAACATGCGAAAATAGTTTAGGAAAATTAGCAGATCTGTAAGCGTGATTCTCACGCGGTTAGCGTGCATTCAGTTGTTCAAACATTCAAATTGTTTGGTCGGACAACAGGAATTCATATCCTAATTTGATAAAGTCGAGGTCGTATGAAAAAATGCGCCCGAAACAGGGTCTCTTGTAACAGTAAATATACTATCATGTGCCTTTATTTTTTTTTGTAACGTTATTATTATTATTATACCACAATGCTATTGTTAGAATTTGAATAGATGACTTCGACATCATCCTATTCAAGCACCCTCCATATAAGCACATCCTCATATAATGCACGCCATGCCCCTTAGGAATTAGGGAATTGATGCACTCATATTTTGCATTCCACGTTTTCAAAAAGCACACCCGTGATTTTCATGTGATCTGTACAACATAGAGATTTGAATGATGCCATACAAAGACATTCTAATAGTCGATAACTTGAAACTCCCCATGTTTGCCTAAATAAAAGACCTGATCTAACGATTATTGTCTTATTATAGATAAGTGATTGATCGGGACAAAGAAACATTAGATTAAATAACAACCTATTAATAAATCACGTGTAATTAATCAAATGCTAACCCTCTATTCAAGCCATTCCCAAGGGCGTGCTTGAATAGAAAGTTCACTATAATTTAAAATATGCAAGCGGACACTCAAAGTGTATGAAGTTACATATTGATAACACAAAATTAGGGTCCGAGAGTTGCACCCCACTTACTTTATGACGCTCGCTAAAGGTATGTTGGAAAGTGTTAAAAATTGTTGCAGTGTGTTGAGCAATAATAATCATATTAAATGAAATACTACGATCGGTAGTGAAATTAATAAACTTATCGTCTACTATTATTAAACTGCACTCGTTCGCTAGGAGCGGCTGCGAACGAGTATACAAGGAATTCTATCGCCCCATATAATTAATAACTCTTCGACTAAGTATTAATATTAGTTGTTATTCTAATAATAGTTCTAATTCTTGTGCTGAACGATAGTGTCTATTGCTTATAAGCCGGACAAGCCAGCTTAGAGTGACATCTAGCTGTAGATAAGCGGACGCCGGAGTATCAGACATCAGACAGATTATCGATGCAATGTTTTTGTTTATTTACTTAGATAATTTAGCACAAGGTTTGAGTGGGAGCCGCCTTCAAATTTTAGCTACGCGGGCGTGTAAGCAAGGCCATATTTATTCCAAATGCTATCCCAGGTGACCAATCATGAAACTATAATACGTTTGTTCAACAACCTTATTTCCATTACGCCCTTAGTTATTATGTCCTTTGAACAAGCTTTTTAATACAGGCCTATTTTATTGGTGCGTGGTCAAATTTTCAACTTTTTTTTCTTCTTTTTTTCATTCCTTTCTTGCTTACTATAATTTTTGTTTCATTAATTAATATTATAAATGATTATTACTACTATTGCTATTGAGATTAATGTTAATATTACATGGAGTAAATTATAATACATATTAACAAGGTAGATAAATAATCGAATAACTATTGCTTTCAAACTGGCGTGCCAAGCAGCAAATTCACCTTCCATCTCTACCAGCTTCAGGGACAGATCCTTCACAAGCAGCTAAGCAATCACCGAATCGGACCCTCAAACTCGCTCCACTCCACCAAGTGTCCCATTGGATCCGTTCACGGCAAACCGTCAGTGTAGAGAAAAAGGGGAGAGAAAGAAAAAGAAAAAGAAAATGGAGTTAGTTTATAACGTAAAGTAAATGCGATACTTACCTTATACTTACCCAAAACCTTCTACCCGTCATCTAAAAGCTGTGAAAAAAGAAGAAGAAAGGAGATGTCGTGATAGTGTTCCGGGCATCCCCCGTGACCCATTTATCAGAGGACCCGTGCCAGATCCCTTCACCGCAGGCGAGCACAGGTGAGAGTGGTGAGTAGAGGGGCGTCACCGGTAACTGCCCGCTGCCCGATCCAGATCCGCGCCCGTCCACCAATTGAGCAACCACTTAGTTAACCAGTTTAAAAAGCAATAGTCTGTTAGTGAACGACTATTTATCCACCCATTTACCAAATTGCGTCCATCGTCGTTCCTCTCAAAGCCAACTCCTTTTTTTATTCCTCCGCTCCACTTTGTTAGTAGTCAGTAGCGCGCTGATGAGAATAATAACGAAGTAAAAGTATTCCGAGTATAGAACGAGATTAGTGTCGGGAAAACTTTTCGAAATAGAGACAGTGACTCAAATGTAATTCCTAAGTAATATGATAATAATTTTTGGTTATTTTATGGCGGGATTATTTATTTTACCGACGACGAGAAGATATTTGAAAAGACGTTGAATATTTGAATAAGCCAATTACGTGTAATGCATTTTTTACCACATTATCATTCCATTCGGTGCGGTACACGTTAATAATAAAGCATATTTGTGCAGAATGTTTGTCCTTCTGAAACTCTTTCGTCGGCTATGGGTCGATAACCGAATCGTCATTTTAAAGACTTTGTTCGAGAGTTGTAGCAAACTGTCGCATGTGCGTAATATAGAGTGGCGGCAAACATTTATGCATTGTATATTCAACTTTTAGATAACGTTGTGCAATAGAGGGTAGCGTTTGGATATATGTGTTTATATGACATCGGTTACGTGGTTGATAAACCGTGTCGTTTTGAATACTGTTTGTGAGTTGTAGCAAACTGTCGTATGTGCGTAATATGGTGTGCAAATGTTTGTTGCGTTGTATATTTAGCTTTTGGATAACGTTGTATTTGCGCTTTGGAGGAGGAGAGTGCAATGGAGAGTAGCATTTGGGTAAATGCGTGTTTGAACTTTTTCATCAGTTATTAAACCGTGTCGTTGTAGCGAAGTGTCGTATGTGCGTAATATGGAGTGACGGTGAAGGTTTGTTGCGTTGTATAGATAATGTTGTACTTGCGCTTTGGAGAAGATGTTGTTGTGAGGAATGGAGAGAAGAGTCTAGGTATATATATATATGTATGTATGAGTAGACGCGTGTTCGCGTGTTAGATGACACATTGGTACTACTTGATATTATCAATTTCTGTCGTGCAGCAACCTTATAAGTATAAATTGCCTAGTGTAACACATCATTACGACTGTCACGATTGTTTCCGTAAATAAGAACAATAGAATCAGCGTAACATTCCGGATCACACGCAGTAAAATATTTTTCACTCACTGGTTAAAAAGTCCGATACGCCACGCGTATAAATTTAATTAAACTGATCTCTATTATAGTGATGACTTATAGTCTGCATCACTGATACAATTGTCTAACTAACAGTTTTTTACGTACTCTATTTATAAATACAATAGATACTTTTGAGTAAACCACATCAGTGATTTTATGTTTGTTACATACAGTCAAACCTCTTTATACCGATACGAGTGGCACCGGCCATTTGTATCGGTATAACGAGTTTATCGGTATAATCAGAGGCCCTCTTTATAATGATATTGTTTATGGAAACCTCATTATATCGGTATAACAAATTAAATAATAATCATATCTATTTTGAAATATGGATTTTTATTTCATCACATACTTATGAGTTAATAAAACTATCCATTGTTGATTGTTTCTTCTTTGACATATAATAAGCCC